CACCCCCCCCCCCCCCCCCCATATTCACCAGACTTTAATATTCATGTAGATCTCTGAAATCTAAACGAGTATATTTTACCATTACCTACTGAAGTCTCCAGATGCAATTCTAGAGGTTTTGAAATTCAAGAAAATGTGGAATTATGCATTCTTTCTGCATTCTGTTATGGTTAAAATTGTCCTGGGAAGCCAGGATATGTATAAAGAATCTGTTTTAAGAAATACAGATGCAGTTTTTCATTTCAGAAACCTAACCTAACTGCAGTGAGTTCAGTACCATTTCTTGGTACACATTTCCTATAAGAAAAATTATAAGGTGGGGGTGTACATTCTGTGATTTTCTGTGTGTTTCGTAGCAAATTTTTATATGCATTCCAAGCCGCGCGTGGCTGATTGCAGTGATTCCTGAGTTGTTATCTCGTAGTGATCAGGTATTTAAGTTTGTTGTACTTTCTCTATGTCACAGGGTATTAACCTCAGTGGAGGTCAGAAACAACGAGTTTCTCTTGCCCGAGCAGTCTACAACAATGCAGATATTTATTTTCTTGACGACCCTCTTAGTGCAGTGGATAGCCATGTTGGAAAACACATTTTTGAAAATGTTATTGGACCCAGTGGCATTCTTCGCAGGAAGGTGGGTACTATTTTCAGTGTGGAACTTGATGATTAATATCAGAAGATTGTTCATAAATTTTTTTGAGAACAGGGTGCTAAGAGGAATGATGTAACATGAAGTTTTCCATAATTTTAATTCTAAAAAAAATATTATTAGGACATTTAAATGAAAGGCGATGGGTACGAAGTTCCGAGGTAGCCTCAGTATTCCATACAGGTTGTCTCAACAAGTGGATTTTCTGATGTCACAGACAAGAGTGTTGGTGACACATGGAATCACTTACTTGCCGGACGTGGATATGATCGTCGTCTTGAAAGATGGCGAGGTGACCGAGATGGGCACATACAAGCAGCTGCTAGAGAAGAAAGGGGCTTTCGCAGAATTTTTAGTTCAACATTTACAGGAGATTGGTGTGGATGATGGTACATCTGAAGCTGGTAAGTGTTGTGGATGTTGATTTCTTAAAGTCAGTTAAAAATACGGAATTAGCGTTTACTGATGAAATCTTTTGTTTATTGAAGAGTGTGTACTGTAGTAATTGCTTTGTTCCTTCGTTTTCGCTGTCTTTCATTGCATACAACATGACGTTAAATTGGTGTCGTTATTTCAGATATACTTTGCATGTTTAACTTTTTCTTTTAAAAAGTTGTGATGCCTTAGATAAAGTGAAATTTTATCTCTTAATATTTTGAAATTCCTTTATTCATTGGGAGTACAAGATGTTTCTGTCGCGTTAATGTATCTTTTTAAATTGTACTTTTGTTGCGTTAAGAATTTCAGGTTTTTCGTGGGTGAAAATTATTTCATATGAAGAGTTACAGAATTGTGGCATTAGCTGCATGAAATGTTTGATTTCAGACTTGGATGAAATTAAACAACAGTTAGAAAACACAATTGGTACAGAGGAGCTCCAGCAGAAACTGAATCATGCGCGTTCCAGAGCATCTGAAAGCCAGAGCGACTCGGCTTCTCTGTCAGGAGAAAAACAGTCTTTGACCGGATCACTGAACAGGCAAGTTATTCTGGTATTACAGAAGACTCATGATGTTATATTTATTGATTTAGAGGTTAAATAACATTTATTGCTGTTTGTACCTGTTTACTATTCAAACTAAAACAACTACGTATCAACATGGGGTAGAAATTCATGAGCATGCGAAGATACGCGCAATAGAGTGGTTTTGCTAAGAATTACTAGCGTTAATGATGGTCATGTCTTCGGAAGTGAAGTTTTTATCATAAAGTGTTGATATTGATTTGTGTTGCAGGCAGCACTCGGTAGAGAGCAGCACAGAACGGGGAGGCTCTCGACATAGACTCAATTCATTAGACAAGGATACTGGTTCTAATTCTAAGTTTGTAGCAAAGCCTAATGGAGATAAACTCATAGAAGCCGAGAAGACAGAAACTGGAAGTGTAAGTTGATGAACTGCGCCTTCTTTTTTGTTAGTTTTTGACTAACTTTATTGATTTATTGGTGGGTTTATGATGTACATTCTCCCAATACAACTTTATAAGGTCTTCAAACAGTGCAGTGGTACAGTACTCATTTATAATTTTTTAGGTACATTTTCCATTTATTATCTGTAAAATACGCAGTTTTCAGAATCTTATTGAAAACGTGACTATTGCGGTGTAGAAAATAAAGACTGATGAAGATCCCAATTTGTTTAAATGACTCTCATAATTTTTTGTAATTTTTTCCTCAGGTGAAATGGCATGTCTACACCTATTACCTCAAGAGTATTGGAATCTTCCTTTCTGGGGCTACCATATTTTTCAACCTGGTTTTTCAAGCATTTTCAATTGGTTCAAATGTGTGGCTTTCAGAGTGGTCAAACGATAAGAATGTCTATGTGAATGAGACTGTAAATGAAGGCAAGCGAGATCTTTATTTGGGTGTCTATGGAGCGCTAGGAGCCGGCCAAGGTAAGACATACATTTACATTTTGTTTGTTGAGCTGACCGGATTCAAACTTTGCACTTGAGGTCATTTAAATGGGAGTCTTGTCTTTCCCTGTCGCGTCTGATACGCCGTTGATTCCCTTTGCATTTCATGAAAGCAAAGTTTGAATTGCATGGTTTTCTTTGTGAATTCTCATGTTGGGGTGGAAAATGAATGTCAGATTGTGTTTGCTATGCAGTAGTCTGGCTCTTGTTTAAACCCC